CTGCCCACATCCGAGCCCCGGGTGAGTAGCACTGACATGGGGAGCAGAGCCGTGAGTAAAGGCAGGGGTTGGAGGCAGAGGGTGGCCACTCGGGACAGCGGTCAGGAGGGCCCCAGATAAGCGGTGTCTGAGGGAGAGGGAGGAGCTGAGCGAGTGAGCCCTGGGGGAGGGTAGAGGGAGGGCATCCAGGCAGGGCTCTGCGTGAGCTGAGGGAGGGCACGCTGGGGCGCAGAGAGGGAGCCCGGTTGGCCGGGGACGGGAGCAAGGAGGCCAGAGGAGGGGAGGGGATGGCTGAGGCCCTTAAAGGCCACTGCGAGGACCGTGCCTTTGTCTTAAAACGAGGCAGGGGTGGTGAGGCGAAGAGTGAGGGGGGAAGGGGTGCGTTAGGAAGCCCGGCCGCTGACAGCACAGAGAACAAGCCGAGGGATGAGCGGGGCCGAGGGCGCCCCCGGAGACGGGCCCTGGCAGCCTGCAGGGACGAGCTGACTGCCTGCCACCCACTAATGGCCTGTTTGCCTCGCACACGCACGCAGGAGCCCACGGGGAAGGAGGCCCAGCCCGCCGCTGCGCCCCACACGCCCTCCCTGGGCTCCCCGCACAGGGCACCCGAGCCCCTCTGTCTCCGGAGGGGGCCGCCCAGCCAGAAAACCACAGGCCACAGCTCACAAGGCCCCGAGGTCCCACGCGGCACCTCTGTGCCTCCACCACCCACGGCCCAGCCCTCCCTGCAGGAAGGACCTGGGGGCCACGGGAGGGTGCCCTGCGCCCCGGTCGGGCCTCCGCCCCAGCACAGGGCAGGGCTGGGCTGCCCACGCGGCCCGTCTACTCGGGGCGGCCCACGCGGGCCCCCGGGGTCTGCACTGCCCACAGCTGTCAGCGCCCTCAGCAGCTGACTCTGCACCCACCTTTTTAATTATTAATAAAACACCAGGAGGCCCTGCCCTGCTGCTCAGAACACAGCGGGGACTGGACGTCCCGCCCGTCTCACGGCCGACGGGAGAGCTCAGGACCCCTGGCCGCTGCCTCTCCTCGCGCCCAGGCCTTGGCGGATGGAGAGCCATGTTCCCCCACAAGCAGGGATGTGCCCTCGGTCCCCCAGGAACCCGGGGCTACGAGCCATGGGGGGCAAGCCGGGGGACGGTCCCCCAGCTCCGGGCCAGCTCCCGAGGCGCACGTAGGAGTTTCCATTCGGGCCCTCTCTTCCTTCTAACAGCCGCGCTCCCCACCCGCTTGCCGGAGAACACGGCATCGGGGTCCATGCTCCCCGCAAAGCAGCGAGCCCGCCTCCGGTGCCTCTGGTTTACCCGCTGCCCCGCGCTGCCCCTGTACCCGCCATCCCTCGCCGAGGGGAAGATGGGGTCGTGGGGCCAAAACAGAGCGGGAGCAGCACAGGAGCCCACAGGAATCACGGCCCCACGGGAAGAGGGGGCCGCCCAGGAGGCACACACTCATCCTCTCACGGAATCCGCTCACTTCACAGGCGGGGACCAGAGAGGGCAAGGAGCAGGCCGGGGGGCGCCCAGCGGGGCCGGGAGCCCAGGCTGCCGACCCCGAGGAAGCCGCTGAGCTGGAGGCTTTAGGGTGAACGACCAGGAGTTCACCCCACGAAGACAGTCTCTGGCTAACGTGCTCCTTAGCGGACCACATCCCGCCCTCCCCTCGTCCTGGTTTCCGCTCCGCCCCAGTCCCTGTGCTGAGAGCATGTGCGCCCAGACACCCCGCCCCCCATCCTCCTGCCACCAGACCTCCTCACCCCTGGCCGCCCCCAGCACCAAGGGGCCACCACAGCCAACACGCAGGGCCCACAGGGCGCCGGGCTTCCGGGGATCCAGGACTCCCCGTGACTGCGTGAACCCTAGGGCTCCCCGGGACAGCCCAGCGCCCTACGGCCCAGACCCCCACCCGTGCCCGGCCCTGGGTTACTTACCAAACCGGCCCATCATCTGCCTGCAAAACAGAAACACAGAGAGAGAGACGTCAGACAGAGAGACATGAACGAGGGGCCGCTCACCCGCATCGAGTGCCTGCTGGAGGCGACGGGCTGAGGCAGAATCCAGCGGGAATGCCCACCCGACGGCTCTTTATAAAACGCGACCACATGTGGACGAACTCTGTCCCTCAGGGAATCATCTCTATCTAAACCGCCCCTACTGTCGGGGGAGGGGTAAATCCTGGGAGTGGCCCACGGGGAGCACGGCCAGCAGCTCGGCCCTCCGGGCAGCCCTGGACGGCCAGCTTTACACCTGGAACGGCTGGCCCGAGAGCCCGTTTCCTGAGCGACGCCCTTTCAGGGAACCCCGGGACTAAGGATCCCCCGGAACACGGGCCAGGCCGGAACCACAAAGGGCGGACGCCCCGGTTCGTCTGGATGGTTTCCGGGGCACAAATGCACACCCTTCCCGTGTGCACACCTTCCTGCCTGACAGGCAGGCAATCTTTACTTCGTCCCCAAGTCCCCTAGACCCTCTCCTCCACCTCACTTATCAGCTATTTTCTTGAGCACCTACAAGGCGCGGGCCGCGAAGGCAGACATGAACATTCCTAGCCTGTGCTCCTGGTGCTGGTGGTGACAGAGGGTGAGCCCGCATTTCCACCTACAGTGTGACAGACAGGAGATGCTGTGGGAACTACAGGAAGGCGGTCACTCCCGCTCGCAAACAGGGAGGGCTCCCTGTAGGAGGTGGCCGCAGAGCCGGCCCTACAGAGGAAGGGGAAGGGTGCTGAGGCTGGACGGGAGGGGAGGAGGACACCTTAAGAAACAGAAGGCTCTCTCCTCAGACAGAGCCAGTGTGGACGGGTAAATGAACTGGGACCGGGGATCCCCCTGAGCACCCGAACGCCCACTGCCTCCCTCTCCACCTCTGGAGGCCCGCCTTCAAACACGAGGGGTGAAGAGCCTGCGGGCTTTGGGGAGTAACATCAATGCTTTAGCACGCCCGCTCTACGGAAGTCCAACGTTTGAAATTTCCCTTCATCTTTGCCTTCCGAGAGATTTTGAACATGATCAACTGTATTTTTATTTATTATTGTCTGTCTCGTTCCACAAGAGATTTCAGGCGGCCTGTGCGAGTCCTAACACCTACGTCATGCGTTTCTGTTAATCTTCTATTTGGGAAGAAATAATAGATCTGGAACCCCTCATTCAGATACCAAACTAAACTGCCACCGTGCCCTCCCTTGAAAGGAAGAGAAAGGGAGGGGAGGGGAGGGGAGCAGGCGCCTGTGTGAAGATGTCACCGCCACGGGGAGGGACGTGGCTGGCAGGTCCCCGGCTGCAGCCGGGCCACTTACTCGGTGGTCGTGGTCAGCTCCTCCGTGATGTGGCTGGAATGCAGCAGGCCTTCCCGCTTCTGGAAACCCCAAAATGAACATGTGAATACACAGGCGCTTGCTCAGGCGGAGACGAGAGGAGGCGGGTGTGGACGGGGCACCTGAAGCCGTGCAGCTGGCCGGGCCCACGAGGCCACCGTGGGGACCACAAAACAGCAGTCGTGCAGAGCATCCAGGCCCCCAGGCCACGGGCAGAGACCCTTTTGGGGGCCAGAAGCTGTCTCCCCCCGCCGCCCCTCCCCCGCCACCGAGGTTCTCCATGTTGCTCTGAGAGCTGGCGGCTTTGGGGGCTCGGGAGAAACCTGACTCCCATGGGGACCCCTCACGCCACGCCCTGCACCGGGAGGTGAGGAGCATGAGGAAGGACAGGGCCGTGGGCAGCACCCAGGACAGTAACACACGAACAAGGGCCCCCCCGGAGTCGTGTCCACTCGGAGCCCAGAGTGTGGCCTCATTTGGAAATAGGGTCCTTGCAGATCCCATCAGCTAAGAGGAGGCCACGGGGGACCCGGTGGGTCTTCAGTGCATACGGCCAGGTCCTGACCAGGGGAGACGGTGGAGACACAGACAGATGGACACAGAGGAGAGAGGCCACGTGACGATGAAGCAGAGACTGGACGATGCCCACAAGCCCAGGGCCGCCAGCCGCCAGGAGGGGGAGGCAGGGGCTCGCCCCTGGAGCCCTCGGAGGGACCGTGGCCTGCCCCCTCCTTCATCGGGACCTCCGGCCTCCTAACGGCGAGGGAATAAATGTCTGTTGTTTTATTTTTTATTTTTTTAAAACTTGTTCTTATTGATTTCAGAGACAAAGAGAGGAAGAGAGACAGAAGCATCAGTGATGAGACAGAATCAGTGATCGGCTGCCTCCTGCACGCCCCACACGGGGGATGGAGCCTGCAACCGGGGCCTGTGCCCTGACCGGGAATCGAACGGTGACCTCCTGGTTCATAGGTCCATGCTCAGCCACTGAGCCACACTGGCCGGGCAGTGTCTGTTGTTTTAGAGCAGCTACGTGGTGGCATTTTGTTAGAGCAGCTCCAGGACCATGACACGTGTGTGACACACTTCTGGCATGTGAGGGCGTGACTGCAGGGAGACAGGGAGGCGGGGCAGGGCTGGGGGTGGGGGGCTGTATGTCACGGGTCCTCGGGGTGGAGCTTGGTGGCCAGCTAACCCACGCCCACCACAAGCCCCTCCTGAGCCCTTCAAGAGACAGGGAGCTCACTCCCTGCTGGACAGCCCCTCCGAACACCTCTCGAGCCCCAAGCTCCCCGTGTCCTGTGCTCAGCCTGTGGGGACTGTCCCCCCGCGGGCGCTGGGGGCTCTCTCACGGCCCCACCTGACTGATCTGGGGAGAGCCCCTGGGGGCCTGAACACTGACTCACTTTCTCATCAAATGCACAAGGGGCAGGAACCGGATGCTGGACCCGAGCACGGACACAGAACTGAGTATTTTCCAGGGGTGCAGTGCGACCTCGGGCTCATAGGGAAACCACTGCAGCTCAGAGGCCCCACTGCTGGGTGTGGGGTACGCCGGGCCTCGTCCTTCCTCCACCTCAGCCCGCACGGCGGGGCGCGGGGGGCAG